TCTCTCTCTCTCTCTCTCTCTCTCTCTTGCTCTCGAAATCCCCTTCTCTCGCACGTATGTCTTATGCAGAAGAGGTGCTGAAGGAGGTAAGTGTGTAGACAAATTTTGGGCGATCGTGCATACATTCTTTCCTCGATTACCTTCCCCTCGCATTTGCTCATGTGCGTCGATACCTGTGAGGTTATACTACAGCAGAGAGTGGATATCCTGTATCCTCAGATCGCAAATCTTTATGCAGATTCAGAGAGAGAGCATCGTATCAATTTGCATGTGATTGTCATTTCTCGATCAAAGGCTAAGATGCAGCAAGGCACAAAGTTTTTCTTTTCCTCTTTAATTTGAAAGAATTATACTCTCAAGATACTCTCATTCCTACCAACAGGCCTAGCTCAGTTGGTAAACCCACAAACTGTTGAAATACAGACCCGCTTTCAAATCCCGTTGCAATCAGATGAACAGAATCAAAAATCACATTCTGAATTACCTGGGCCCAGTCAGTTCACAGATGACATCTCAAGTCCGTTGCCCTTTACACACCCCCAAAAAAAAAAAAAAAAAAAAAAAAGTTTAGTAAAAAACCTCATTCCTTCCTCTCCTCGCACAGTTTGCTGGAGCCTCGAAGCTGTACTGCAATGAATTCCAAAAAAAGAGAGAAGAAAATGTTAAACTGAGGTAAGTGGTCAATCTGACAAAGCAAGATTGCCCAAACCATGATGGTAGTCCAAGCTGCTGGAGATGGAGAGCAAAGAATAGAGGTGTGGTCGACTCCACACTATACCTTTCCAAAACAGGTAACAAGAGCAAGAGGTGAAAACAGGTAGTCAAGATACGATTCACTGCACCTTGCGAGAGTGCCCCGTAGAAAGTCCGCATTTTGACTTATGCAGTCGACCAGCTCATTAAAAAGTGGAGCGATTGCGTTGACTTCATCAAAAAGCGCACGAGAGAACGGAGAGGGAAGTAATGTCACTGGTGCATGGACCATGCCCATCCCAGCTGCACTGGATTCCTGTTCAGGAAAGTCCGACCAATAGCGCTGCCAATGTCAATCAATACTCGATTTTTTTCCCTGTTTTTTTAACTTTTTTCATATATAAAAAAAAAAGGCATAACCCAGAAACAACATTACAAGAACAACCCCACATCCTGACCTTCAGACACGCACACAATTACTTTTTTCGTTTTTTTATTTTTTATTTTTTGGTGTGTGTGTGTGTGGGGGGGGGGGGGGGGGGTTACCAAAGGTAGCTTACATGAGGACAGCCTGAAGCTCCACACGGGAAAAAGAATCATGCCAAGATGTATAAAAGATATAATTAATTGATTATTAAATTAAAGTCAACGGATGTTAACCACCGACTCTAGAAAAGAGCAGAGGAGGGGCTCGCTCCACTACTCAGTACATGCACAAAAGACTCCAAAAAAAAAATGGCTGTGTCTTTCCATGTTCTAGCAGAAGATTCATTCTGATTTCGCACATTGGCTGACTAATGCAGCGAGGCCCAAAGAGTAGAGGGAAAAGAAATAAGCACGATGCATAAACGATATAATTAGCCGCGTTTGGGGCAACTTGTAGACTAGATACTGCCATAAATGACCGTACAATGTGGCGTACATCCTATTCCGCAGAAGAGAGTAGTTGAAACTTCAAAGTATCACAATTCATTGCACCCACCTTAGAAAATTTGTAAAAAAAATTAAAAAAAAGATAGAAACCCTGTAAACTCGTTTGCCATTGCACATTTTCCGGTCCCTGTCACAATATACAGATACTAGGACTATAATGAATGAAATGGTTATAACTTATAATGCCGGTGAAATAAGCGCAGATTCACTCTCCACACAGCATGCACAGTGAAAGCTCACATGAAGATTCACACCAAGACCAGATATGGAACACCAAATCAGCACAGCTCGGAAACTTGAATGAATACTCAAATTACACAACTTCAGAGTTCAAATAGTCCGCGCTCATCAGCGCAGCCAACAACAATCCTCAATCAGGTGTGTAATCCAGCTCCCTCCTCATCTCTCTCTCTCTCTCTCTCTCTCTCTCTCTCTCTCTCTCTCTCTCTCTCTCTCTCTCTCTCTCTCT